AAAAAAATTTTTTTTCCTATTCTCAATAAAAAAAAATAAAAAAATAAAAAAAAATAAAATATACTAACTGATGTGACCCATTTATAATATTTTATAATGTTTATAATATTTACATCTTTTATCGTTTTAAACCACTTATAATATTTAATACTATTGTAAGAGTGTAATGTTTTTGTCTATAGGGCATTCGTTGCCAAAACTTAGATTGTTTTCTCTTTTTCTCTTTTTTCTCTTCTCTCATTCTGTCCCCTCTCCTGACTGTTTTCTATGACCCAGTCTTCACACGTCCTCCTTCTCCATCTCTCTCTCTCTTCACTTTTGAGCCTACATTACTCAGGCACAAAATCCATATCTTCCAGTCCATGAGAGCAAAATGATCATGGATATTTACTGGACTCTTCCTTGTCTATTGTTTTAATTCACATTTGTTTCTGGTTCTAAGTCTTTAGTTTTACTTATTTACAAATATGAAAGAACAATATATATGAGCTATTTACTCAAGGCTGAATCCTTTGACTAGTATTGAGAATTGTGTATTTAGATGATAGGGTATTCAAAATTATCAAATTAAGAGCATATATATGTAGAAAGTAAGAGCCATATGTGCACACCTAAGAAAGTCTTTATTAAATTTTATATTAAATAGAAAGCTAAAAAAAAGGTAACATTGGATTTACTAGAAAATTAGCAAATGCTTGCTTTGAATTCATAAATGTAAGATTTGCAAAACTTTATTTTCAGCATGCACAATCCTTTCTGCTTGTTGGTTTGTTGAGCGGGGAGAACAAATGCAGGTCCTTACACATCCTAGGTAAAGTGATCTACTATTTCGCAACAGTCCCAGCCCAGAAGTTACAGAGGCCCTGTCTATCACTCAAGAGCAACACATCTATAGATTTCAAGTCTAAACATACTTCAAGTTCCAAGATACATAATAGATATTTTCCTTAAGAATAGATCTGAAGAAAGATTATTGCCATTCACAGTCCGCTAAAAGTTCTATTTGCTTTGTCAATCTTAAGTCTTTCTAGGTAGAATCAAAGCAAAAATTGGTATCAAAATACATGTGGGTGAGCTTTTTGTTTGTTTTTTCCCCCAGGGGTCCTGCAATAATTGCAAATTCTCTTGGTTAGCTGAAATGCACTGGGAGAATTCTTCCTAAGAACTTCAGGCAGGCTAGGGAGAGAAAGGGATGACAGTAACAAACTAGTTTGTGTCAATGCAATCAGCCAATATCAAGGTAGTTAGGGAAGTCAGCTGGTACACTGAGGTAGGCACATGTAACTGTGTAGCACTGTATCTGAGGTTTATATTTACTGCGTCCTTAGAAGAGCTCAGAGTTTCATTTAAAAAAAAAAAAAACAGCACTGGCCACTGCTTTTACAAGTAGTTCGCATAAGTAGATGTTTCCCCAAATATCTCAAAACTGAGCACTCCATGACTATGAGAGAGAAAAAATCAACTTCCCAAGAAAATGGAGGGATCAGCACATTTGATGCAGCCATCTTAGGGTTTCGATTGCTGTGAAGAAACACCATGACCACGGCAACTCTTATGAAAGGAAACATTTAATGAAGTGGCTTACAGTTTCAGGCATTTAGTCCATCATGGTGAGACATGGTGGGGTGCAGGCAGACATGGTGCTGAAGAAGGAGCTGAGAGTCCTACATATTGACCCACAAGAAACAGGAAGTGCTCAGAGACACTGGGTATGACTTAAGCATATGTAAGACCTCAAAGCCTGCTTCCCCCATGACACATTTCCTCCAGTAAAGCCATACCGACTCCAACAAAGCCATGCCTCCTAAGAGTACCACCCCCAGTAAGCTCATGGGAGCAATTACAAATCTAACTATGCCACCCTGTGTGCAAGAGAGGCCTGCAGGAAGATGGTACTGAAGCATATTCATAACTGGCTGCATCTTTGCTGCCTCTGCTTCATCCATATTCCAACCTGGACCCCCAAGCACAGAACTGCTTTCAGTACTCTGGAAGAAAAGCACGCTGCCACAGAGCCTACTGAAGAACCATGTACAAGCTGACAAGCTGGAGCCGTCCATGGAAATGTATGTTTCTTTGTCAACCCACATGTTTCTACTCTAAAGGTACTACGTACCTTTAATAGTATTTTGATTCTACTCAATGTCCTTCTTATTTTCTGGAATATTTTCATACCTTTACTTCTTTCTAAGATGTCTATGATGTTTTATGTTAATGGATGTTTGACCTGCATTTATGCCATGTACAACTTGCCTGACTAGTACATGCAGAAGCCAGAAGAAGCCATCAGATATCCTGAACTGGAGTTACAAATGGTATTTAGTCACCATGTGGGTGCTGGGAATTGAATCCAGGTCCTCTGGAAGGACAGTCAGTGCTTTTAACCACTGGGCCACCTCCGGTCCTTGATCTTTGATGTATTAATTTTGTTATGCCTGGCAATGTTTATTTTGGCACAATAGATAGCATTTCTACCACTTCAACTTTAAAATAAGCATCCTAAAGTCAAACCAAAATAAATAGATCTAGGGTACAGAAAGTCAATGGAAACAGAATTTTTATCAGTTAAAAATCATATTAACATTATTTAAATCACAACAGAATTTCCTTTGCAATTCAGAAGTCAACTAGATACTATGGAAATAGACTGGCGTCTGTATCAGCCTCCTGTCATCGCCGTCCCTTAGACACCAGGATGAAAACTAGACCTTAAGAGTTTCTCTATGTTTAAATAAAACTGAACTTTTTCTACAATTGATATAATTGTAAAACACAGCAAACTGGATACATGGAGTAAACATGGGAGGTATGATGTATTTTCAGGATATGGCATCTTGCCATTGACCACAGCATCTTGGAGCACAGTAAAGTCATTGAAATAGTTAACAGATGTTAGCCATACTTAAAGTATAAAAGTTCTATTGCTAAAAATTATGTAGGGTCAGATGAAAATTTGGCTCTCGGTCCATAACTTAACAAACTTGGCAAATGGAAAGTCGGGATCCATAGGCAGAAAACAGCGTCAGGGCCACACACTCTGTGTTGTGTCGACGCTCGTAAACTACTAACAATATGTACCCTGTGGTAAGCTGGCTTGGTGAAGGATTAACACAGTACTGGATACTTCGAGAAATCTGAAGTCAGTTTTCACATCGACTAAGGTAAAAATTAAATGAATTCTGTAAGCGCAAATGAGCAGGCTTTGTCCACATCCATAAGGCTGCCCACCAGTGTTAAGTCTCAGCTTGCAAGCCTTCCATCTGCGTCGTGGTCTAGCCAGTGATAATCTTTTCATAGCATCGCTTCTTTCCCAGCTCTTTTTTTTTTTAATTAACCTCCACTTCAGAATGGGTTGGCATTAATGATTCTGCGATGAATTGGGACTGAAATGAATCTTTTAACTCTCAAATCCTAAATTCATTCAAGTCGAGCTTTGAAGGTGGCTTGAGCAACTTTGGAGTTTGTGGTTTTATTCACTGCCTTGCAGATAAAGTCTCCAGCTTCCATCACCTTGTAGAGATTCACACCCTGGCAAAGAAAAGAAAAGACACTGAATGGGATGGGGAATAAGAGTGAAAGAGAAAAGAGACGAAGCAAATCCTTTTCCTCACTAGTAGTTGCTTAACTGATTAAAATTATGAAACATTGTTTTGCTCATTATCGATTCAGGGTCAGCATTTATTTCCATAAACTATGTAGGCAGTGCTTTATTTCTCCAATTTATTAACACATAATATGGAGGAGACTCCTCTGAATAACGGCCTAATTCACAAACACCTCTGATGTTTAAGAAGGATACTTATAGAATTTGAAAACACCCCATAAAGTATTAGGAAAGAGAAGCTAAAATAATAATGGATTGGAGAAGTTTATAGTGAGAAACTGAATTGGGAAAATAATGTTTTTATTATATATAAACAAACTGGATGCATTTTTATGTATTACAGGAAAAATGAATGCCTTCTTCCCCCTTTTCTTTTTCTTTCTTTTTTATTTACCATATACAGAATCAGAATTGTGAAATGAATTTTCTCTGTAAGTCAGAGAAAATATGCAGTGTTTAGAATACAATTTTATATATAATGGCACCTTCTGTGCCTAACACTTTATCTGTGTTAAGGATAAATAAAAGCAACTGAGGCTTAGGAGAATCCATGAATGACAGATCAGAGTTGGTGTGAAGGCCAACGTCAGGGCACAGTCCCCATCTGTGGGCCTTGGAGTAACGACAGTGTTCTGCCCAGTACTTTGTTGTGCCTGGGGGACACATATATGGGCGTGTCCAACATATGTTTGCCTTCATGCAGCATCTCACGTGCCGTTACATCCTTCTTCAACTAGAAACAGTGAGACAACAATGAAAATTAATCTTTGCTAGAAAACTGCTAGTAGCTATTTTTAATATGGTATGGAAACTGAGTTTCTCCTAAAATTGACAAGAATAAAAATTCACAATGTTTCATAATGTGTTCATTTTAGTTTTTCTTTCTTGAGGTGTTTTGGAACACTCTTTTTATTACTCTTTTAAATAATGGCCAAGAAAATGTTTTGTAAAATGATTCTTTAAAAATGGCTTTTATCTTCTTTTACATTATGAATGTGTTTTCAGAGTAGCAGCATTCTTTTTGATTCGAGAAATTTGTTTTTGTCATGGAGCATCTGAGTCTACTTTTTAATTTAAATTCCTAATCCAATGATAGCCAAATAGTTTCATATGTCTTACATTTCTGAATTAGATCCAGCAAGGGTTTGATGGAATATTTCAGTCATTAATGTTACTCTAAACTTTGTAAGAATTCCATTTCTAACAATTATGCATAGAATATGCTAATATTATCTCAAGAAAAATTTTACTTTGGTTTTTCTCTATAATTTCATTTAATTAACTGATGTGATTATAAAAATACTGTATTTAATCTTGTCATTTATCAGATGTCTAGAAAGTAATACGATATGTCGTGTGATTTCACAGATTATACCTTATTTTGTATTCATGAAGCTTATGTGTACACAGGCAATTGCACACTCATAATTATAAGTACTATACTTATATGGAGGATGAAGAGAGCATATGGGTAGCAATGGGCAAACCTGCCACAGATGTTGTTTGTAATGGAGAGGGTACCAACAGGCCAGAGTGTGTTATGCAGCAAATCTTCTTTTGGAGGAAATACAAGCTCACTGGTAGTTGCTTAAGCAGAATCATACTATGTGCATCCTTGCAGTGCAGATAAAGTCTTAAGGTAGTGATGAACTCAAATGCAAGTCTAGAACCACAATTAGTGCAGCAGATGAACACTTGGCAAAGAGCTAAGAGTCTATAATTACTTGCTCTTATAAGTAACTGGGACTGTGGTTCATAGTGACTGTAGTGTTCCTTAGTATTTAAATCCTCCTTCACTCAACCAGGGTGACATTTGGTTTTCTGGAATTTAGCAATGAAACCTAAACTTACAGAATATGTTTAATGCTATTGTTAATTAGATTCAGTTCATTTCATTTAAGTTTTAAGAAAGGAACATTTCTCTTCATTTTCAATCCCTCCCTTCTAAAACAATGATTAGGCCGCTGTGTAAATAAGCCAATACTTTTCTACAGAGAAGATGAGCAAAAGATTTTGTTGTTTATAGACAACAGCTGTTAGCGTTTGGTGCCAGGTAAAATCTCAATGAATATTTATTGAGCATCTGTATGTTGCAGACACTGAGTAAGAATACGCTGTAACGACTGCATTTTGACTGTCCAGAAAACTAGAAGGATAAACATTATCATGATACAACTCTAGGGGGCATGAAGAAATAAAAATAAAGAATGCCAAGGAAGCACCAAGACCCTTACATCTTTACCTGATGATAGCCGGAGTGACGCTAGGAATGGACCAGTTGGTGGTACCTCACTTTCTAGATAAAGTAAGGCATGATGTAAATGACCAGTCAGAACCACATGGAAGCATAAATGAGAGAAGCAGTGAGGAACAGAATGTAATGGCAGGCGAGTTGGAAGCTGTGGGATATTTGGAATAATTACAGTGAGACTGGAGAGAAAGGAGGAGAGGGGGGAATTTATGTTGTAGCTAACTGATGTTTTTATTGTTTGGATGTACAGTAATCTCACAATAGTTTTCTTACATTTCCCAAAAAGTAGAACTTCTCCTATGCTGATAGATTTTGTTACTAAGCATAAAGAAATCTCAGTGTTAGTTTCAGCCGGTGTTAGCATATAAGACCTACCATTGCGCGTACTTAGAAAGAGGCTGTTCTTGCCACCTAGTGTCTTACATCTCAAGCTTAATTAAACTTTGCTTTTCCACTGACCATTTGCAAAATTTCAGAAGACTGAGACCAACATAATAATCACAGCCTGCCTGAGAATCTCATCTTCTATGAGGATCCATAGCAAAAAAAAAAAAAAAAAAAAAAAAAAAAAAAAAAAAAAAAAAAAAAAAAAAAAACCCACAAAACTACAAAGCATTGTAATCACAAGGACACAAGCTCTCACACAGAAGTATGCTTTCACTGTATTTTTCTTCTGTGCCTTACAGCAAATAGCAAACGTGTAGTAAAACTTTGACCTCTGCTGCTTTAAGTTTGAGAAAGTATGCCTATCTGAACCTGAAAAGAAAGCACGAATATTTAAAAATATGTTAAAAGAACTTACTGTATTGAGTCCTATGCCATTAAGCATATATATCACGTCCTCAGTGGCTACATTCCCAGAAGCACCTTCTGCATAAGGACAGCCACCTAGCCCAGATACAGCAGAGTCCACCACATTAACTCCCATCTGAAAAACAAACCACAACACCTAAGGGCGTGCACGTGTGAACTATGAATCACTCATTTCTATTCAAACCTGTCATGAAGAAATAGCAAGCAAATTTTAAACCTTCTATCTTAACATAGTCACTATTCACTTGATGCTAGAATAGTCCCTGGGCAGCCAGTCCCTTTTCTAAATTTGTTTGACCAACACACACTCTGCTAAAGATCTTTGCATCTGTGCCAGTCTTGTACCAAGACCTAAAAGGTAGGGTTTTGACTCTGTGTTCTCTATAACAGCACAGCTGGTGGGGATATAGCTTGAAGTAAGGTTAATTCATTCATGGTTTTGCATATTCTCTGATTTTTCTGAAGCCCTGCATGAATAACTCAAAATATTTCCAACACTACAGCTCGAAATCAAAGTCTCAGAAGACTGGAACTTGTGTGTGGTAGTTAGGGCTGAGGCTAATATCTGCAATGGGCTTGGTGGGCCCGATTTACCTTTCCAATTTATCAACGTTATTTTGCACACAAAACTCTGTTCCTCTGGAAGAAAGAGGTGTTTAAGAGGCAAGGTATTCATCTCTGGCTACAACAGTTCACACTCACTGATCTCACACTCACTGACCTCACACTCACTGCTATCTATCAGTTTTAAGGCTTTAGGTGCATAACTCACAACTCTCACCAAAACCCACACAAAGATTCTCTCATAGTGTCCCCACATCACAGGGAGGAACCACAGGAAGAGCGGGTTCAGGGAATCTGTGCAAGTGCACGGTCTGGTGCAGAATTCTCTGTCGCCAGAGGACCATTCTGCCTCTATCCACAGCCTCTGGAAGCCGCACATTTGTGAGGACTAAGTGTTTGGACTTGGGGATGCAGATGACAGAGAGCTTGTTTGCTGAGACTATGGAAGATAAAAGCGCAGTGATGTCAAGCGAAAACCTGGGTATCGGCTATTGATAATATAAAATGGAAGCTGGATGGATGTGCCATCCTCTGGGAAAGCTGACAACTCGATAATGGGAACGTGGGCTGGAGAAATAATCAGTTCTTCACTAGTCAGCAAATCTATTTAGAGGAATTTAACCCAGCATCCAAAGGGACAGAAGTTTCAATGGTACCTACTAGAATTATCTATGGTCCCTTAAAAGTGCTAGTGGCAAGTCCTTACCCGAAAATTAGTTAAACCAGTTCTCTAATATGAATGGGTTCTGCTGTACCTTTGAACTGCTCCTGGTGACTTTCTGAAGCCAGGGTCCTGATTCAGCCCGCTCCTTTCGATCTTGGGCATGCTCCTGTTTTAATCGTAGGAATGCTCTGCACTCTGCAATACCAAAATGCTAACCATGTGGTGAGGACCAAATGCTGATCCAGGAAAGGCAGAGGAATGTGGGAAGATTTGAGGTTGAAGAGACTCAAGGTTATGAGGAGTCAAAAGCAGATAAGACACTATTGACCAGCACAGACTGTTAGGCAGGCACATGCCAGCACCTACGGGCCTCATACAGGCAGACACAGGAACACACAAAGACCAATGCAGTGGCTTCTTGGAGGTAGGCACATAGGCCTACAGACAAGACACACATGCACTCAAGCTCCTGAAAGTAGAAGTGGAGGTCTCTGACACCAAGGTCTTATTGGTACAAAACATACACAAAAGGTGGCATTCTGCCAGGAATACCTATATAACAGATTACATCCCGCTTACTTTGGGGGTCAACATAGTATAAGCCACATTGTGATGATTCATAACCCCCCAGGTGGCTACTATTGTGCATCTTATCTAATACCATATAGCCACAGCAAGGTCATGATGTTCAAACACAAACCTTACAACCTTCTGTCAAATACTGTGGTTCTTCCACATTTCAAGGTAAGTGGTTTTAGAAAGAACTCAGTAGCTGCAGTGCACAACGCCTGTCTGAGCTCTATGCGCTACCACAGTTTCCGAGCTTTGGGCAAGGGGCTGGAGGTTGAAACATACAGAAACACACAGAGACAGACAGACAGAAAGACAGAGACATGGACCTCTAGTCACTGGTAAGAAGCCCTTTATTCAATTGCACCATGGAGGCTTATATACCCAACAGTCAAGTGGACCAACAGGTGAAAACCTTATCCTTTGATCCTCAAGGCCAAGGCAACACGTGCTCGTGTAAGCAGAGCTGGTAAACAACTTTGACACAGCTTTCAGTGATTCAAATCAGAAGGAAAGTAAAGATCTCTAGCAGGGAAGAGCATCTGGAAGCCAGGACTCCAAATGGTCCCAAAAAGTAGAGAGTAAGATAGAAAAAAAAAAAGGGCAAAGCTGCTAGAACAGTAGGTGTGAGGTGGCATCAGCCTACCTCCTGGATCATTCACTCTTGATGTGTAAAAACCTTGAACCACACTCATTTTTTAGCTAAACAGTAACTAGACCCTGTAAGGACAGGTGTCCCAGAAGAAAACACATTAGTCTATCAAAAACAAAAGCAGTTTTAAATCTTAATTGCTATGTAGAAGACAGTGAAAAGACAAAATACATTCTTTTTTCATTTCCTTTTTTAAAACTATGTATAGGCTTGTTATATATTATTATGTTTAGGTATGTTCCTTGTCTACATGGGAAATAGAAAAAGACAAGATCTCCTGGGTAAATTGGGAGCATGGGGACCTTGGGAGAGGGTTAAATGGGAGGGGAGAGACGGGGAGGGGAGCAGAGAAAAATGTAGAGCTCAATAAAAATAAAGTAAAATAATCAAAATATGTATAGGTGTTTTGTCTGTATCTCCGTATGCACACCGTGTTCATATACTGCCCAGAAATGAAAACCAGAAAAGCACAGCCTGAGACTGGAGTTATAGGCAGTTGTGAGCTGCCACATGGATGTTGGGAATTGAACTAACACACAACTAAACATAAAATAAAAGAATAACTCAATATATAATTTTAAAAGGTAAGACTGTAAGAACTGAAAGTCAACAAAATTCCAGCTAGTGGGAATTTAAATTTAAATTTTATGGTAAACAATTATTATCAATATCCAGGGTTCCAGAAATTCTTTACCAAAGACATCCTGTCTTGGAATGTTTAACATATCATAATATATAAACAATGAGATGTTTAAAAACAAGTAAATAGATGCAATCATCTATGGAAAATTTATCACAATTCTAGAAGGAAAATTATAAAATTAAAATGTCAAGTAAGAAGCAACTTAAAGTGTGTCTATAAAGCTAAGTGACAATCTACATAAACACAATTAAGGGAAAGAAATGGCCCTAAATGATGCACACACTATACAGTCACGGTCCCACTTTCTTAAGAATTTGTATGACACGCACACCAACATGCTAACAGCATTGGCGATCATGCACAGGGTGGTTATTCATTTCTTTCGGAGTTTCCTGTCAACAGGCTGATTGGGAACTGCACTTGTAGTGGGGCATGACCTTGAACTTCAGATCCTGTTACCTCGACCACCTGAGTACTGAGATGACGAATGTGAGCTGATGAACATGCGCCACCCCTCCTGGTTTCATGTGATGCTAGGGACCAAACTTGGAAATTCCCACATGTAAGTCAGGCTCTCTGCCGACTGAACTCCATCTGCAGCCTACATGGAATTTCTTTTCACGTTAATCCTGTTTCTTTTGTCTGTGACTCACAGTGCTTAGTGCATGTAAGTAAATAGAAAACAGAGCAGTTTCTGCACAAGCTGGTTAGTCAGTATAGGATAATAAAATGGAAATGATTTTCAGAAAAAAAAAGAAAAAAAGAAAGAAAGAAAGAAAGAAAGAAAGAAAGAAAGAAAGAAAGAAAATCCTGAATTTTCCAGTTAGCATTATTTTGCACAGACTTCTATCTCAGGAGTCTAAGACTGCAGGGATAACCCACAGCATGCTCCAGTAATGGCAGACATAACTGGGTTAAAGGCAAACTGGAGAAGGCTCTTTGCCTTTTTACTAGTGATCAGATTAGCTCTGGACACAGCTCTCAGGAAGCCATAACTACAGAGTAGATCCCAAGTTTAAGCAGTTTTAAACAGAGTTCATTCTTTATATTACCATTGAAGAGAAATCAATATTCTATCCTATACTGGGCATAGTGGCACACACCTTTAATCCTAACCATCTGAATGCAGGTGGATCTCTGAGTTTTAGACCAGCCTGGTCTACATAGCAAGTTTCAGGGTAGCAGAGTTACATAAAGAGACTGTTTCAAAAATCAAGTCAAAACAAAACCTTCCCCATCAAATATTTGAGAGATGGCTTGTCTGAGAAAGGCACTGGCCACCAATCTGATTTTGAACCCTGGTAGCCACATAGTGGATGGATAAAAACAAATCCCAAATTTGTTCTCTGACCCTCACATGTGTGCCACAATTCGTGCACCACTCCCCATAAATAAATGTAATTTGAGGCTGGAGAGATGGCTCAATGGCTAAAAGCACTTCTTGTTTTTCTCAAAGACTCATGTTGTGCCACGTCCCACCTCGTCCCGCAAGGATGACGCGAACACCGGAGCTCTTCTTGCAGCAGTTTAGTCCAGGACTTTATTCACTTTCTCTCTCTCTCCTCTCTCCCTCTCTCTCTTTCCCTCTCTCCTCTTGGGCAAAACCTCTCCCAGCCCTTAAGTAGGCATGGGCTGCCAATCCCGGATTGCCAGGTGGGCACTGCCCATAGGCCCACGCATATGCAAGCAGCTGATGATCGTTGTGTGATCAGGCATAAGTCAGACTTTAGCCATAGGAGTTGATTATACATCTCCATCAGGTGTGACACCACGCAGCTCGCTACAATGTTGTGTGCCAGAAACCCACACTGAGCAGCTCAGAACTGCCTGTAACCCCAGCTCCAGGGGAGCTGAAGCCTGCTTCTGGCTTCTACAAACACCTGCATCTCCATAGCATACAGACACATTTGCATGCACACAAATAAAAATAAAAAATTAAGAATTGGAGAGCAGGAGAGATGGCTCGGTGCTCAAGAGTGCTTACTGCTCTTTCAGATTAACTAGACTTTGTTGCTAACATCC